TTTAACACTCTCTTCCTCCATTTCTCCCGCAAAAGAACAGCTCTTTCTATGCATCTGTTAGTTTGATCACTTCGTTCACTCCAAAAAGACGAAGAAGAAGAATCCCAACGCCTACATTTTCTCAGCACACAAACAGATAGAAGATAACAAATGCAAGGGGAAAACTCACGAGAATTCTTGAAAGGCATAAACAGCAGGATCGATTTTGGGAATAACCACGGGCAGCCTCTCGAAAAGCACAGAAGCAACGATTTTCTCGGAGCTGGTAGTGCTAAATCCTCGCCTTGTTAAGAAAGGTCGAACCAACGATCTATGCATCCTTAATCTGATAAACACAGAAAAAGTTCCATCAAATAGCCAAAAAAATGAATAAATATGCCGAAACGGAGGGACTATACACTTCGCTTCTTAAAGAAAGAGAATATAGTTCCTTATTACAAAAATCATAAGCCTTTCGAAAATGAGCAACTTGTTGCAGAGTGAACAGTGACGAAGAAGAAGAAGAAGAAGCAGATGGAGGAGGAGCTCATGTTCAACCTGAAGCAAAGGAGTAACGAGCGACGGCCCTTGCTATCGTGACAGTGCGAGTTCGAGGGTTCTCGTTTCCCCGTATTGTTACGACTCCTTTTTCCCAACCATGTTTAGGAGGTTTCATTGGTTAGCTGGGAAAGATTTTAATTATTTGGCCAAAAAAATGAAATATTTAAAATTAATTTCTGCTTATGACTTCTCTAGATTTTCTTTCACAAAGAAATTTCATCAACAGCTTATCTCATTTTTTTGGTGAAAAAACACGTATTGTTTTGAGGGCCTGTTTGGGTATCTCAAAACCGTGGTTTCAGAAGCACTTTTCCGCAAAACGAGATAATCTCCTCCATATATTTACTTCGTAATCGGTAAAAACACTTCTGAAACCATGATTTGGTTTCTATCCAAACGCACCCTTAGTCAATAATAATTCATCTCCAATCCCCAGCAAAGTGTTAAAAAAATATATCCTAAATTCCTGCACATTTCTAGGTTCCTCTAAATTAGGTTTGTTTGGATGTGGATAGATCATAGAACTATTAAACAATATGGAGAGGCAATTAATATCATCATTAGAGAAAATACTGCTGACTATTTGCTAACGAGCCTCACCGATAACATATGTATACTAACCAGATAAGGATTAAAATGCTACTTCGAATTAGTATATATATAGAAAAGTCAAATGAGTGTATAAATTGGCTCGCCAAAAATGTTTAACCTCATGATGTTAAGTTGTTAATATTTTGTCCTTCACAGCTTCCTCTAGGTTGTAGAAGGCAAAGTGGATCTCAAGTAACATCCTGTGTTTTCATCTGAGAAGGATGAATATGTGTGAGACATGATCCATCAAAGGTGCATGCACACCGCACGAATTTACAATATCAAGTCACAATACCGTTAATGCAGGGTTCGTTTGAATTTGCGATTGGATAAGTATCATGTCATAAACTATTTAGCTACACCTACCCACTTGTTACAGTGAATCCCTATGATACAAGTGTCATGTCAAGTAACAACCATACATAAGAAAAGAGAGAGAACTGCTAGACTACGTCGACAAAGCATTTATACACTAAATCTCAGCTTCTTCCTATGCTTCAAGGTTTACTCTTTTCGCAGATAAATTGCTTTTCAGTTCGGCAAGAGATTCGTATCAGGTTACACAACAAAATTCTGCTGGATCCTCATAAGCACCCGAACTCACAACTTATGGACGTATTGTTGGCACTTTGATGCAAATAAAAAGCCTTTGCTTATCTAGAGCTTCCCTGGATATCTTTCAACCACCTATCCACCTGATCTCTTATGCCAAATCCTCGGCGAGGCTTTAGAATTTGCTTAAACAAAGCCATTTTTGGAACATTCCAGTGCTCCACATGCCTGAAGAATTTGCAGATTTGCAGAGATGTGAATGCAAAAATAATTATGTGGGTGAAAACTAGAAAGCAGAGTGGTCATGAGCTTGACACTAATTAAACATTCCACTTACCTGCAAACTCTTCCAGATTGTGCATCAAAATAGTATTCTGTATATCCCGTTGCTGGAGTTTAAATCAACATGTCGTCAAATTACATGGCGCATCATATAGTTAAATTAGACTCATTCTTCGTAATTAAGAAGGCATGTTTTCTCATGCATTGTATGGAGTTTTAGATGAACCACGTTGTTCATAAAGGTTAATTGTAATTAAAAAGCAGAAAAAGGGGGAAAAAAAGGGAGAGAAAATGAAAAATTACATTGACCTACGCGAGTTTTTTGAAACCTAAATTGACAAACCCCTTCTGATTCAATACCAAAACCTCTTTTTTAGTCTATAGAACCTGGACTCATCCTTTCCAGCAGTGAAAATATTGCAGTAACCTCCCTTCACTTTTTCATAAATATTAAGTCTGCCTTCTGGTGATTTGTAGTTATGGGCCACATTGAAACTGAATTAGGCTGCTAGGTGTTTCTAGATGGCAAAATGCATACATGGTACAGGGACTGGCTGCAAATTTTGCAAAACTCAGAGAAGCTGAAAAGCAATTTACTCAAGAGAATAGAAAGTTCAAGTAAAACACGGTGATCTATATAAAATATTCTATGGCGAGATTAAACCGATAAGGAAAACAGCCTTTCGGCCTTCAGTGGTTTGGTTTAGTTGATGGGAAAGCAAGAAAAGCGTACCAGAAAGAATGGGTCTCCATGGAAACGATAAAATACAGCTGAATCGCCAGTGGCCAATTCCCTTATCCTGCAAACAAACCAGACATGTAAATCCATAATATGCCCATTGACTAAACGGGCCACTTGCAAAACCAAAGTTAGTAAAAGCAGCAGCGCAGTGTCAGAGGTTGATCTCACCTCGAAGTCTTCCCACTTCATAAGCTTCATGTTGGACGTTACAAGAAGTGATCCAAAATTAGTGCAGTTCCTTTTAAAACGTTGAAGCCCTTTGAAGGAGCCTGCTGGATCAGCAAATTCACAATCCTCTTCATAAGCATTCAAAGTGAGGTTTCCTGAGGGTGAACAAGACCAGGTTACCCAGGCGAAATGCCCATCAGAAACATCTAAAATCACTGACCAGAAAATATTCAAATTTGCTAGAGTTTATCTGAGCAATCACTTGAGGCTGCTATGTTTGAGCTTTATTCTATGTCACTGGAAGGACACTTTAACCATGTGACGCAATTTCTACTTCTATAGGGTCTTAAGAGAATTTCAGACTTTTTTCTAGGGGTTTTTGAGTAAGCAGCAACTGGCACAACTCTTCACATAATGGGGAAGCAGGACAAACCCAAGGCATTTTTTTTAAGTTCAACCCAATTCCATTGAGAGAAGCCAAAGCTACGTAAAAGATATTATGTAATAATAGACTACTAGGGGACATGCCAAAACTACATAAAAGATATTATGTAATAATAGACTACCAGGAGGCATGCAATATTGTCAGAAATATTGACGACCGGCTATTTTAACCAGAGGGATGACAGTACCCACATTTTGAGCGAATACGGGAATGGCAACCAGAACTTGTTCTAAAAGATTTAGCAGAATAGCATTTTACTATCTTCACTAAATGATGTAAAATATCCTTAAGCATACATTTATGGATGTATGCATGTACGAAGGATGCAAAATATCTTTGAGGAAGCCAATTCGTAGAATCAATCATCTTTCAATATAGGGTTTTACTCAAACTAGGAACAGGAATTAAGAATAAACTTGAACGAACCGTGTTAGGGAAAAACCTGTAACGAAGTAAGACTTTTCAAAGTCCTCTTTGATGGTTGCCACAACCGCAGCACGATCAACTGCCCCTGAACCATCTCCGGCAAGCTCAAGAGTTCTCTCAGGGGCTTCCTCGATTGAAGGGGAACGGAAGACAGAAGCGGCAATACCAAGAAGTTCAGAACCATACCATGCTATCTTGAGAAATGCATTTTGAGGTTCAGAATCTTGTTTTGTCGAGGAATCGGTAGTTGGATTTCCTCCATTGCACCGCAATCTATAGGTCTTGCGGGGAAGCTTCGATGGAAACATCAAAGTATGATGGGAATTGAGGCGGGAACAAACGGAAGCTACGGAGGCAACACTTGCCATCCGAGAAGTTCATGGGGCAACAGTAACTCGCGCGGTTTGTCTAAAAATCTGACATTTCTGGTTTCTAAACAATTTATAGCCATAGAAAACAAGAGGAAATGATTTTTCTGGATGAAAGTTGGAGAGAACATCTTTCCAATTTTTCAATTCGGCCTCGTCGTTCAGAAGTAATTGTTCGCCTCGCCAATGTCAACCCAAAAAAAATAAAAAGAAAAATGATAAGAAAAAGAAGTTGGAAATTACTAATCAACCAGATTTCTGTTCAAGCTAATTATTTCTTCAATTTCAGTATCTTTTGAATCAAGTTCTTTTATAGTAGCCTTGAGTTTGTAGAGGAAAACTTCGCTAATTACAGTTATCAAAAATTAAAAATCATTCACAGGACATGTAAGAGAGATGATAACTAGAATTTTCTTCAGGATTGATGTTGTTATAACGAAAACGATACAATTTATAAATGATAGCCAACATCCACATAAAATATTGTAAATGTAAGGGGATGCCCTTCCTAAGCTCCATACAAATACATAGGAGGGAACACTAAAATTAATAATTGAATTTAAAACACATTGAGATTTTTAACTGAATGGTGTGGAATATAAGAGGATTAATTTTGCATATGACGCAACATCATTTATACTAATAAAATTTAAAAATAACGACCAAATTAAAAAGCATAAAAACTATATATAAAAAGAAAAGTTACCGTAAAAAATATACACAGATCACAGGTGTTCAAAATGAAATCCTCCCCTTGGGTAACCTCTACAAATCATCTTTATGCAAAAACAATTTCGAATTCCTTTGCTTAAAAAGAGAGACGGTTCTGAAAGTGAAAACTAATAAGTAAAAACACTTCTAACCCAAAATTAACAACTAAACCCCAACATGTGCCATTTGCAAAAACGTATTCCCCTCCTAAAATATTGTAAATAGCGAGCTTCAGGGACTACAAGTCTACAAGCGTATTTGACTGGCAAATCAAAATAGCTCCATCTCATCATGAAAATATTTTCATGTTCTGAGAGTTATCTTCCCCCTCCCAAAGTTGCCTATTATATTTCTGGAAACTGTTGCCAGTTGCCACATTGCAGCCAACAGAGCCTTGACGGCAGGGGAGAACTCATCACCTCCTTCCCCTTCATTCTCTTTTTCAGGAAATTCTGCACATTACAGTGACATTCTGCAGTTCTCCTTTTTTCTTTGATTCAGCATATCATCTCAATAGCAGCTGGAAGAACACGAATTTTTCTTGGAAGGAACCCCAGGTGCTCCCCATCAGATTGAATGTAAACCCCACCCTTCCCAGAAATGTCCTCTACCTCAATAGAGTGTACCCTACAACACAAAGATCATTATGACTGAGCATCATCACAAATCGTGAGCTTGACATTGCATTAAATAATTAAACAAAATAAAAAGAAGGAGATGAATAAAAGAGTTCTTTAATTTAGCTGGAAAACCTAGCATATTCACAAATTATCATGTAAATCAAACACAATAAATGCCAGCTCATACACCGGAGTTCAGTTGCATATTTTATCATCCTAACATGCAAAGCAGTTTGCTCATTAATGATGCTCATTGATATCCAAATGAATCAGTTAAAATGCCACTTGTATCGTAAGGGTCATTGTTATCCTTGTGACATGAGAAGAAAAACTAAAAACGATCTTGGGTAAATGATATTTACTCCTACATGCTATGTTACAATTTAACACCGCCATGTAATTTAACATCATTTGTCATCTAAAGTCTAAAACCTCAGCATGCAATGAAGAACTAGCAAGTAGAGGTGTGACGATTGAAGAATGGTATGATGCATTCACTAGAAAAGATTTTACCTTCTCGAAGATACATTTCTCACAGACAAATGTGTACCATTGTACAGCTTATGTAATTTGAGGATGAAATCATACCACTTAAAGTTTTGAAGAATAACAACCTGCAGAATTTGGAAGCCAAAAATTCTATCAACTTCAAGTTATTTAAATAATAAATAAAAATAATTTTTTTTGAAAAAAAGGCAGGACAAAGGAGCCTCCTTAGCCAACAAAATTTTAAAAATAGATGCTAATATTTATCAAGGAGATTTTAGAAAAAGGCATTTCACCTCAAGATTTCCACTATGTGGATCAGCATTTGGTGTAATTTTCATCCCACCCCCGAAGTATTTTGCATTTCCAATGCAAAGAGCTGTAACTAGAGGACATGTCTCCCAGTCACCTTCATTCATCTACAAATTTTCACATTTAAAGCTTATGTAAAAATTTTTCGTGCATTAATGTGAAGCCTGAATAGGAGACTATGCTTTGACATTTATAGCAACACAAATCAATATGTTACACTGACTTTGATTCTGAAATCCTGGTTATGATGCCCCATAAAGGCTTGCAAAGCGCCAATGACATAGCATAGTTTACCAAATCTCTTGTACCTAGAAGCATAAAAACCTGCCTTGGCACTCCTGCAAAATTTTGTAAGGCATGTATTTAGATAATGACCTGAATCATGACTCGTAAGTCTCCATCTTGAATTTCCAAGTTACACTTACAAATGAATATCAGCAACATTAATGAAGTAGTGGTCTTTCTCCAGTTTTCTCCAGTAATGACACCAACATCTATCCTTGATCTCACCCCTAAATAACTCCTAACATTAGCATTTCTATAGGGAAACCAAAAGCAAAAATAGTAAAAGGTTTTTCAGCAAGATCTGCCAATCATGAACAATAACATGAGAAGAATAGACCAGCAAGGTAACTGAAGATCAACACCTTTAGAAATGCGTTCAATGGCCTCGTAAGGATCATTTTTCCTGGCAAAGGAAACAGACGCGTCCATTCCAATTAATTCTCTCAGGTTGTATACTCCATAGATGTTACGGATTAAAGAAAGAAATAAGGCAAAGAAACCATAACTAACCACCCAAATGTTCGTGCAAAATCAGAGCCAGTACCCAGGGGAATGAGCTGTACAAAGGCAAACATAGTTATATCATCCGCTGAGAAATCCAATCAGAAGATGTGTTACAGATGACTGAATATAAGACCACATGCACATGTTTCAAGGAGAATATCGCATTATAATAGCAATTACTCACACCA